GTGTGTGAATTGGTGGATGACTGGATATGTAAAGCGCTTTGGAGTCCTTAGGGACTAGTAAGGTGCTATATAAATACAGGCCATTTACCATTTTACCATGATGATGATGATGACGTGTGTATGCTGTAGCCGCGTGTGTAAGTTGTGTAAGTGTAAGTCGCAATAAAGAAGTGCGAACACGTGGTCACTCGTGCCCTAGTCCTGGGTTTCAGCACCACTGCAAACGATGCACGACAGACCCGACCACATGTTCGCACTTTTCACTACACTTCTTTATTGCGGCTGTCAACTTACGCACGCGGATGCGCATATTATTAACGTAACTGCCACGAATTTCTTTGTTCCACCGTAAACATGATTCGATGTTAAACATTAGTTCTGCATGACTTGTCTGCCAGGTAACTTGTGCCCCACCTGTCAGAGCGGCACACACTTTGAGAGCCACTGAGATAACATGAAGAGTGAAACTGTTTATGGTATCAGCCCAGCCCGTCTTTAACTGTGACCAAAATGAAGGCCGGTCCATGTATAAGTGATGATAATTCCAATCGTAAACCTCCTTCTACATCAAGCCAACACTAATATCCTGAACTCCCAGCTGTATGTTGAACTTTTTACTGTAAAATCGAAAACTGTTGACAAAATGTTTGTGAATGCAGCTCAAACCCAGAATAAACACACGTACAGACTGTCCCGCTGCGCTGTTGCTTATCGTAAGCACAAATAAAACAACACTAGAAACCAAAACAACTCAATACATGCTAAAAAAAAAACAGTCACATAACAAAGACTCACACTGGATGAGGGTGGGGGTATTACAATAAAGAGTGAATCACAAAATCTCCCAGGACCAAAGAAAAAAAATGATTTCCCCCAACGAGCGCCCTGCCACGTCCCAATTGGCCCTAATTAACAGACAGCTAATTACCACACAGAGATTTTAATGAGCTCTGAAGATGAGTTTCCAACCTCCTGCTATTTTAAACCACCTTTCTGTCTCCGTTTGCCCCTCACTTCTCTCTCTCTCTCTCTCTGTCTGACTCCCTTTGTAGCCTCTCGTTCCATCTCTCCCCTTCTTTTCTTTTTGCTTCACCTATTTCAAGATATTTCCTCATCTTTGTGTAGCTGCCGACAACATTCGACCAAATGATGAGTCTTTTTATTACTGTATTTATTTTGTCTTGTTCTCAGCACTGCACAGTCAGAGGTGGAGGGCCGTAATGGAAATAAACATGAAACTGAATCTCCAGCTGCTGAGCAGCTTTGCAGGATTAAAACAATGCAAATAACTCCTCTCCACTTCTTTTCAGGTGTGCCCTTCGTCTGATAAAGTGGGTTTTGATATTGGTAAAAATCATACATGTCATGCACCAGTCTACCACACGTAGACCTCCTCATACAGTAACACACTTCCTCTAGATCCACAAAGTGCAACTCCTAACCTTCTCCATCAGCAAAGCAAACATGGTTAAAAGGGGGTGATTTAGCTTCAACAACTCCTCCCACATCTTTGAGGTCTGCTCCACACCGCCACACATACGTCACCTGGTTCAACTGCCTTTCCACTTCCTTCTTCTTCTTTCTTCCACCTACACTTCCTGATTCACTAACTGCCCTCCATCCATCCTCCACTGTCTTCCATCAGCTCCGTTCATCTTCTCAACACTCCCTCTTGACTCTTTGGTACATTTCTATCTCCTTGCTTAATCATCCCAACCTGCTGCACAACCTTTCCAGCTCCATCTCATGAAAAAGCCATCGATACAAGTCCTGTGCTCCTTCCTTGGTGTGTTGCCTCCTGTTTTTTTGCTATACGTAACAGACAATTGACGATATTTTTCAGGTACAGAGTTTGTTTGAATTTGTTCTCTAAATGTTTATTTTTACGTAAGTTTCAGTGTTTTTAATTATTTTAATCTGGAGGAACACAAACTGACTGACAGCTGACCTAAAAAAAGGAAGAAATTATGGTTTGATTGTATTTATGTAAAGCATGTTTGTTGACGATTACCCCGTCCATCCTTCGATAGGTGGACAACTCGGTGCCTACTGAGCCACATCGGTGACTTTAATGGAAAAGCCAGACAAGTTTAAGTAAAGGAAGCAGGTCTGAAAGGAGCTAAAGAGGCAGGTTACAGACAAACTAAAATGTGCACAAACATCTCGCTCTCCTGAGTCCTCCACTCACCGAGCTCAGCCATGGGCACCGCGGGTGGCACGTCTCTGTTGCTGAAGGAGCAATATGGAAAAAAGCCGTTACTGGATCCATAGTCGCACAGGGGCTCCGGTTTGATGCCATTAATATCAAGTCCGGATTGATCCGGAGACTGCTGGATATCCAAGTAGAACCCCCCACCACCTCCTTCCCCTCCTCCTGCAGAGTCTCCCTGTTTGTGGAGGAAAAGATTGACGTAGAAAACGCAGGAAATATCGTTGAGTTTATCAACTGTCCTGAAAATAGAGACAACAAACCTTAGATGACAAAGATCCGCCTTCAGGCGAGTTCTGTTCCACGTAGTGCCCCCCCTCATCAGGTAGCTCTGTGAGGCCGGTGGAGGACAGGGTGTAGTGAGAGGACAGCGACTCGGACTCGACTGGACTCGGGCTGCCGAGGCTGGGATGGGACAAGAGGTTGTGACCTTGTTGCTGCTGCTGCTGGAGGCGGTGCTTCTGCACCTCTGCGTACAGACTGTCCCGCTGCTTCTTAGACATGCGACCAAACTTTACAGCTGAGGAGAGAAGGAAAGGATTTCAGTTAGCCACCTGACAGAGAATGAAGACCTGGAAACAATGAAACAAGAACGTGCTGATTTCTGTGACAGTTCAGCAAAGTGAAAGCTAGCCGTTATGGTTTCAGAGGCGGAGCACTCATTCGCTTAACCCTTTAAAACCGGTCAGAGTGGGCACGCTCCGTTTTGCGCAACTACTTTTAAATCCTTGTAGCACTGCAACCACGTAAGCTAGCGCAATAATTTTTTTTGCATATGAAACCTGAGGAGTTGTACTTACATCTTATTCCATCAGCTTGTCCTAAGTCACAGTTTCCTTCCACATATAGCTTTGCGAAAACTGCATAAAAAGCACTTGCAGCAACAAAAACATAATATCCCAGAAACACGCTTTGCCGATCCGATCAGCTGTTCCTAACACTTCCTATGTTGGAATAGACGTCAGCGCGAACTATCGCATGTCCGCCATGACCTGACCGAAACCGGAAGTGACGTCATTTTCG